TGCCGCCATGTGATTGGCTGATTAGAAATTAAGTGTTAACGAGCAGCTGGACAGGTGTACCTAATAAAGTGGCCGGTGAGTGTATATATTCTGTTCTTGGCCAGCGTACTCACCGGACATGTCACCCATTCAGCATGTTTGGGATTCTCTGGACTGACAAATACTGTACAACAACATGTTCCATTTCCTGCCAATATCCATCAACTTCACATGCAAATGGAGGTCACACCAGAAATTGATTGGWWTTTCACACACTCTCTTCCCCTCATAAAGCAAAACAGCACATTTCAGAGTGGCCTTTTATTGTGGCCAGCCTAAGGCACACCTGTACAATAATCATGTTGTCTAATCACCATCTTGATATGCCACACCTGCAAGGTGGGATGGATTATCTCTGCAAAGAAGTGCCCCCAACACAGATTTACACAAATTTCTGAACAATGTTTAATGGAAGAAGGTGTATTGTGTACAAAGAAAAAGGCTTGGATCTTTGAGTTCAGCTCAAGAAAAATTGGAGCAAAAACAAAAGTGCTGCRTTTATATTTTTATGSAGTATGAAAACCACTATAATGTGTGACTAATCATTGCACATTCACATGATATAAAAAACTTTCTCTAATTGTTTGTAAAGGCACAAATAATGGAGCAAAGCTGCAATCTACAGTATAAACACAACCTTCTTACATCCACAATCAACACATAGTAATGGCTGCAGTCTAACACAGAAGTACACAATAGCGCCAGTAGGCCATTTCTGATCCATATTAGGCCTACTTGGACTGGGTTAACACTGGCCTGGCTGACTCACGCTGACCTCGGTCCCTCCACCACAGAAAATCATTTAATGCATTTGGCAGCAGGTCTTGCACTAACTTTTTCCATTTTTCCCCAGTTTCTCTGCTCAGCCTATCTCTTTCTCCTTTCTTTTTTTACGTTTGTTAACTTTACCTGCTCACCTTTCTTACTCTTTTTTCTTTTTCAATTTAGGAAGGGCTTCTTGCATTAGACATTTAATTATTCCATCAGCTGTGGACTCAAGGGCGGTCACTGCTGAGGGCAGCTGCAGCCAGCTGCTCTTTATGGGGTAAAAAAAATTAAACATGGACTGGCCAGTTCAGCTTGGAACTGACCGGTCATTTGAGAATCCTCTTGAATATCCCCATGACCACCACACCCCTGGTTGGGACTCATTATTGTCCTTCTTTTTTTWAATTAATGACACAAATCTTATTGAGATCATATAGATCTCTTTGTCCTGAARACACCCTAACATGCATGTTTTGGGTTGTGGGAGGAAACCATAGTCCCCGGAGAAAACCCACACTAGCAAATGGAGAACACACAAACTCCACAAAGAAAAACCCCGGGACCAAACCAGCAATCAAAAACCCAGGATCTTCTTGCTGGCCTGCTCTTGGTAGATACACATTTCAGAGAACTCCTGAGGATAGTTCTTGGAAGTCCTTTTGAATTCACTCCTTGACTTGTGCTTTTGATCTTTTCTCTGGGTTGAATTAGAACAGTCATTTTAAAGGGGGTAAATATTTATGCAAYCACTKCGAAAACACTTCCAGGATTATCACAGAAAAAATATCAGAGAACTGCTAATGTTCAC